TTTAACTGTAGATCATCCTAAAGGATACATTACTCGAATTAACCGTAATAATGTTCAAGAAGTCGCTGGCAGATTGACCAACGCCAAACCACTTGCTTTTGTACTAAAAGAGGTTTTATATGTACGGATAAATTTGATAAAAAAGATGATTTAAACATCGAAACTTTTCTTGATGATGATGATGATGGATATCACATACCTACCACTAATACCGTAATGAACACATTTACAACACCAAGTAAATCACGCACAAAAGATATGATTATGAGATGAAAGATGGTGCTTGAATATCAATATCACACTTGTAACTTGACGATTATTTTAAATAGTATTTTTGGATGAAAGTTTTTTAATACATAATAAAGGTTAATAATGTTCCGCCAACTCATTGTGCCTGGGTGAAATATATTAAAGTATTAATTGGCTAGTTTGTTCATTGCACGATTACATAAATTTAATTACTATCCAATCATGAGTTATGTAAATTCGCATATTTCAGGTTATGTGATCCGCAAAAAATATCAAATTCTTTGTGTAATCCTGATCACTTTTGTCGAGAAAAAATTGAAGTCATTTACCCATATAGAGATGTCAGATATGTCTCGCAATCTAGAAACAATAGGCAAAAAACTCAAGGTAGATTCACCGACAGTCCTACGCAGTATGTGCAATTCAAAAATCTGGTTAAGTATATGCACATCATAAAAGTTGAAAATATAGTTATAATAAATAGGACACGCAAGATACGAAAGCGTATTTGTAGATATCTAGAGGTAATTAATCTCGATTTGAATATTCACAATATGTGTAACAATTAATTGGTTTATTTTTTTCAAATGTATATGTATAAATTCCCAACCACCAGGGTCGGCTTTATTGATACAGAAATACATAGTAATAACACAAGATGCTCAATACTAATAGTTAATTATCTTCTCGATCCGATGACACTGTAGAGCTTCGTTTCTTTAGACGCGCTGATCTAGCTATTTGCGCATGTAATAGTAACGAAATGTTAACAATCATGATATTCCTTAATATCATAATGTCTCCACTAATTGAAATACATCTTCACCTATTAGATAACTGCACCGGAATTTTGACAGAGCGTAAGTTATAGAGACGGTGGATCTTTAATGAGTATATTAAGGTGCAACGTATCCCCTGCAACCTAGTCCCCTAGTCCATTACATTATCAGAAAAATAAAATAAATTGTGTTACAAACTAGATTTTAACCCCTGGAACATAAATAAAATATTTACTATTGCCCTTGCGCAGTTTAACACCTGTCAAATTTTTATCTTAAATCCTATTCCAAATTTGGAAAAACAAATCAAAAAAAAAAATAAATAAATCAAAAAAATTTTTTTTAAAAATCAATAATTTTCAAAATGACTGCATCAATAGCATCTATACAATTTAATGCAAAAACAACTACAAAACAACAATTTGCATCTACACCAAAAGCATGGATTCATTTTGTAGCGGGAGGGTAAGCATATAAACATTTTAATAGTGATAATTATATGCACACTAATTATTATTATTTTAATCAAACCTTTCTTTCATATATATATATATATTACCTTTGGGATTGTTTTCTTTTAGTCTTGGAGGTATGGTTGGAGCAATTGTAACTTCGCCATTGGATGTAGTTAAGACGCGATTACAGGTTACTAATTAATTGATAATACTTTTTATTATTGTGATTATTATTATTAGCATTAGTCCCCATTTAAGATGTGATTTTATTTATTTATTTATTTCTCACTTTTTTATTCCACTTTTTGATTTACGAAATTTTCAAAGAATTACTGATTTGTTATATATATATAATAAAAATATATACATATAAACCAACAATAATAATAATAAACTAGTCATCATATTATCAATCATCAAATAATTTGAATATAACAAAACCAACCAGTCGACGTATACCAATTTTTGGGCATTTTATTGAAACTGGAAAAATTTTAACGTATGTATTTTTTAATAATACTGTTATCATCATCATCATCATCATCATCATCATCATCGTCTATTCACTCATAACAAGCATATATATCTGCATTATTTTTTTAGTGATGTATATCGTATTGAAGGATCACGAGCATTATTCAAAGGTTTAGGACCAAATTTAATAGGAGTTGTACCAGCAAGGTAATTTTAACCATGAATTTTTTTCTTCTATTCTCCTATACAAAATATGCAAAAAATAATATAAATTTTTGTTTATTCAAATCAATTAATAACTTTTACTTTTTATTTTTTTAGAGCAATTAATTTTTTTACATACGGAAATGGAAAAATAATTTTGATAGAATTAAATGATGGAAAAGAAACTCCATTAATACATTTAACAGCTGCAATTATAGCAGGTAAACATCCGAGATCGATGATGAATGAATGATGATATCAATTCCATTGACATTAATTCCTCCAATATGTATAGGAATTACCACATCCACTGTAATTAATCCAATATGGCTTGTAAAAACGCGTATGCAACTTCAAAGTTCCAATAAATCACCACAAACACTCATAAAATACAAGAGTTCATTTGATTGTATAAGAAAGGTTATTAAAAATGAAGGATTCATAGGGCTATATAAAGGATTAAGCGCTTCATATTTAGGTACTCATTCACCAACTGATTTTTCACTAATTCACCGATTAATTTTTGATAAAAGATCTTTTTGACAGATGTTAATAAAAGTTAATGATAATAATATTAGGTGTGACGGAAAGCACAATACAATGGGTTTTATATGAATCATTCAAGTCAAAATTTGCGGAAAAAAGGGAAAAAGAACGAATCAATAATAATAATAAAAGAAACGGTTCCGGTAGTCTAGTAACGCAACTAGATAATAGTTTTAATTGGCGTTGGATAGATAATTTGTTAGCAGCTGGTTCAGCTAAACTGATGGCAGCTTGTGTTACTTACCCACATGAGGTTAATTATAATACATGTATTTATTTTTAATTAATTATTCAAAATTTGCAATAATTTTACTTTGACGACTTAGGTGATTAGAACTCGTATGAGACAATTACCAGGTGAAAATGGCGTGCGTAAATATAAAGGATTAATCCGATGTATCAAAACAATATTTAAAGAAGAAGGATTTAAAGCATTTTATGGTGGTATGAGTGCACATATGATGCGTGTTGTACCAAACGCTGCAATTATGTTCTTTTGTTATGAATCAATTTTAAGTTATAGTGGAGCGAATCAAAAAAGGTAGAAAAAACATTATTATTATTGATTTTTTTAAAGGACAATTAGCTTTATATGTATATATATATTTATATTTATTGATTGAAAAATATAATAAGATTTTGGATATTACTAACAAATAAACAAACATTCAAAATTCATTATATATTCGTTACAAAATACAAATAAATTGCGTCACTTAGCTAGTTACATTAGTAAAATAATTAAAACTAAATCTGAAGTATTGAGAGTTCAGATTTAATATTAAATAATGTAAAACCACAGAGCATTACTAAGTAGCACCGAAGGATTCAATGTACTTGAAAGAGTCCAGACTTCAAAGGTCACGACCCATCCTGCAGCCACTATGAGTTCTTCTAGTCAACAATGCCGTAACCATTGTGTCCAATTAAAAACAAATAGGTCTCTAGACTGTTGGGTGGTCGATTCATTCTACCAAAATGCTGTGGTTGTTCTTTTCCTCACAGACAAAATAGATAAAAAAGTTTATTTCCTTCCTGTAAAGGGAAGGGTTGAAAGAGTGTGTTGAAAAAGCGAATGTTGAGAGTTGAAAGCTGAAACGAAAAAAATTTTTTAAACTCGCTTAGTTTAAATATTTATGATGATTGTGAACTTTCTTTTAATAACATTCTTGATATAAAAGGGATGGATTCGTTATTATTTTTCTGGAGGAAAATATGTAAAAACTATCTAATAAATTTGTTATGATACCAAAGCTGTGCGGTTGGAACAGGGCTCAAAACTTTTAATTGTAAGAAAAGTGAAAAAGTTATCGCCATTAAAGAGATGATGTATGACGAAACTTTTGACTTTAGTCATTGATGTAACTAAAGTATTGACTAAAGGTAGTTTCTCACCAGGGCCATTTTGACGATTTGACTAAAGCAAAACCACCTGACAATGATAAAATAGGATTATCAAGAAGTTCCAAATTGTAGATGGATAAAGAATTATCATTATTGTATGTATATTGCAATGATGCAAGAAGAATAATTATCATGGGAGGTTTACTTATGGTTGTCAGTTAATTGCAAGCAACGCACAATAATTCGGTGTTTGTTAATTAATTAGTTTACGAATTTACTTTGGTCCTCGATTACTAACCAACGTCATGTTAACATTCGCTAGTTAACCAACGTTGGTTGCTCACTAAAGCAAATAAACGTGGCCTTTTACCAATGCTCTACAATTGTTGTCCTTTACTTAAGGCACTACACTTGTTGCTTTTATAAAGTGCTTAAACAAAGAAAATAAAGAAAATGATTGTTTTTATGTTTATTTTCAAAAGATTAACTTTACTTAATAAAAATGATGATTCTATCACAATTTTATTTTGTTAGAATGTTAATTATCTATTATTTTCCTCTGCTTTTTCAAGCAAGTACCCGATGTTATTCTTGCTTTTCAAGAGAAAATCAGAAATTAATGAAATTTTCGTTGGTCATTACAATAAGGATAAAGATAAAGATGGAAAATTGAAAGTTTATTATTGCATTTAAATGCATGGATGCTAATCCAGATAATCGTCCAACTGCCGAAGAAATTTTTAATATTATTGATTATTGGGATATGTTTAATAATGAATCAATTAGAAAAGAGTTTGAGAAAATGGATGAAATAAAATTTGATCCTTTGACAATTACTACAGTAAATCATCCAAATGCAATTTATACTAGCAGATTATTAAAATTTACAAACTTTCCCCAACCTGTGAATTCCAATAAAGTAACAATTATTGGTAATAATAATGGTAATTATCAATGTTTAATCATCATTTTTATTAACTTTTAAAATTAACAATATTTATTAATACCCACTCTTGTGATAATATTCTATAGATTCTAAACAAATTGAATTGGCTATACCAGATGACTTACCTGAATAAGTTAAATCTTGTCATTTTATTACATATTAAATTATTTATTATTTATTTTTATTTATTTATTTGGCTATTATGATATTATATAAAGGTAATATCTTCTCACAATTATCTTTAGAATTTTTTTTTCATTTGAAATTTTTGATGCCAAATATATACACTAAAATAATGATTTTTGACAAAAAATAAATGATAATTTTTGATAAACTTTTCAATCCAATGTTTTCATTTTCTTATATATGGTTGGCTCGGTCTAAAGACCTCCTACTGCTGTGCCATATGGCCAAATTTCAAAAAAATAGCAATTTTGTAATTTGTTCAAAAATGCAATAAGAATTTTAAAATAGGACTTCACCTGATTTTAGGTTTAAAAATTATTTCTTGCTGACAAATTTAGATACGATAGTCGAGAACTAGTCTAAATTTAGTAATGATCTCGTGGCCAAATTTTTGAATAGAACTCTATGATTGGTCTAAAGACCTCCTATTGCTGCGCCACGCGCTCAAATTTCAAAAAATGCGATTTTGTGATTCGTTCAAAAATGCAATAAAATTTTTTTAAAAAGGGTTTCACGTGATTTTGGTTAATGAATTATTTTCTTTGCTGCCAAATTTAGATATGATGTTCGAGTGTTAGTCTAAATTTA